TAAAATTAAATATAAATATATAAAGTAAAAACAAAAACATAATAAATAGAAAAATAAGCAATAAAGCATTTGGAAAAAAATAAAAATTGAAAAAATATGGAAAAACTCACAATAGAGGCTCCCCCCCAACAATTAGCATGTTACTGAATTAGGAGCAAGAAATTTCTCACAATAGGGTACCATCTCTTTAATCGGGTGCAAACATTATTGTGATTATTACTGTTATGATATTGTTTTTCATTATTAGTGTTATTAATGTACTCTTACTATCTCTTACTACTATTGTTATCATTATCACGCACACACATATGTATATTCAGGGTTGTCGAAATCAGCCACCAGTTCAATTTTTCCCCACCTGCTGGGTGAGGGTTATTAAATTTTATCAGAGTTGTTCTTCTCCTTCTTCTTCTCCTCCTCCTCCTTCTCCTCCACCACCTCTGCCTCCGCTTCCATGTTCACTTCCGCCTTGCCAACTCTTCGCCAAGCTCTTCGCCAACTTCCGCACGCAGTGGGCACTGCTGGACCTCAACTGCAAGGGTCTGAGCGCACTGGGCACCGCTGGACCTCAACCTGGGACCGTCCGAGCTCAATGAGCACCGCTGGACCTCAACCTGGGACCCTCCGAGCTCAGTGAGCACCGCTGGACCCCAACGGCCAGATAGAATGCCAGAAGATATGCCAGATAGAATGCCAGATAGAATGTCAGAAAGAATGCCGGAAGATATGCCAGATAAAGTGCCAGAATGTTTGCCAGATAGAATGCCAGAAGATATGCCAGATAGAATGCCAGAAGGTATGCCAGATAGAATGTCAGATAGAATGCCAGAAGGTAAAGTGCCAGAATGTTTGCCAGATAGAACGCCAGAAGATTTGCCAGATAGAATGCCAGATAGAATGTCAGAAGATATGCCAGAAGATATGCCAGATAGAGTGCCAAAAGATATGCCAGAACATATGCCAGAAGATATGCCAGGTAGAGTGCCAGAAGATATGCCAGATAGAATGCCAGAAGATATGATATGCCAGATAAAATGCCAGAAGATATGCCAGATAGAATGCCAGAAGGTATGCCAGATAGAATGTCGGATAGAATGTCAGAAGGTATGCCAGATAAAGTGCCAGAATGTTTGCCAGAACATTTGCCAGATAGAATGCCAGATAGAATCTCAGAAGATATGCCAGATAGAGCGCCAGAAGATGCCAGAACATATTGCAGAAGATATGCCAGGTAGAATGCCAGAAGATATGCCAGATAGAATGCCAGAAGATATGCCAGATAAAATGCCAGAAGATATGTCAGATAGAATGCCAGAAGATTTGCCAGTAACAAAACGTATAGATGTCATGGTGGGGATAACTCGAAGCAAAGTAACTGCTGATAAACCACGAACTTTCGCAGTTGGGATTTCTTTGACTCAGCGCGTTTTGAAGATTCTTTATATTGAGCGAGTCTTTACGGCCGCAAATTATAATATATTATGTATATATATATATATGTATGTTTATAACTATATATATATGTATGTAATCATATATTATATGCACAGCTATCGAAATAGTTCCGCAACCAATGTGCAGGTATGAATGCAAGATCCCCTTGGGCAAACATACAGCCAAACACCTCGTCTTGCCCGAGGCACTCTCAAAACACTGTCAAAAGTGGGGCATTCTGGCATTCCTGAAAAGCTTTGGTAGGGGACCTGTGCGTCGTTGCACAAGTCATCCTGAACCCTAACACCATAAAGTTTTAACGGCTTAAACCCACAACCCAAAACCCTAAACCTCAAAAAACAGTTGAAAAATCAAGAGAAAACCTAAAAACCTAAACACATAAACCCGAAAATCCTACTTCCAACTATTAAAACCTTGGAAACCTGAAAGTGATGTTGGGCGCCACGGGATGTCTGCGCATAATTATACAAAAAGATATGGAAAAACCATGAAAAACCATGGTTTCCCATTTGCAAGATCGTTCACAAATGGTGGGTTTTCCACATCTATGTTAGTTTACAGGAGGCCAATTAATTCCATACATGTGATTCGTTGAGATTGTCCACTGCGAGCTGGGGCACCCCGGTCCGGAGTATGCCAGGTGTGAATTTCGACTGGGACTTGGCATGTGCCCTGCCGGATGGTGCCTGTTTGGCCAGGGAATGTTTTTGGGGAAAACGGTGGTTTCACCACCCATGTGCCGGTCCTTGACATGGAGTCAAAGATACGGTACATTGGAAAGTGGCCCCCCAGAAATCCTTCAGGATTGGTGTAAAAGTAATTTCTAAAGTAATTATTTGGGTTGGTGTAAAGATAGAGGAAACCTATATAGTAAAGCAATAGTAAACTTAAGGTAGAGTAATGTTACGGGCAAACACCTCGTCTTGCCCGCGCTTGTCGGCGGTCATCTTTGTATGTGCTGAAAATGTGGTAAAAATGTAATTTTTGTTTTGCATCATTGCTAACTTCATGTTTTATATCGGCACGCACAGCATACGGACTTGCGCGGGTCTCTTACACTTACACATCATCATCATCATCATCATCATCATCATCATCATCACCAAACCCTTATTGAAGATATTTGAGGATCTTCAATGAATGTAGAAGTTTAACGGGGGTGGGAGAATTAAACCCTTATTGAATATCTTCAATGAATGTAGAAGTTTAACGGGGGTGGGGGAATTAAACCCTTAGTGAAAATCTTCAATGAATGTAGAAGTTTAACGGGGGTGGGAGAATTAAACCCTTAGTGAAGATCTTCAATGAATGTAGAAGTTTAACGGGGGTGGGAGAATTAAACCCTTATTGAATATCTTCATTGAATGTAGAAGTTTAACGGGGGTGGGGAATTTACTGATATATGGGTGGTTTATTACTGCTTTACTAACCATCAAAGGCACTAAATTGAGGGGGACCGCAGGCATGGCTGGCCTCATGGGAGTTGTTTGAAAAAGTGTTGTGGGGGGTTCCTAAAATGCGGGTACCCCCAAATGGTTGGTTTATAAGGGAAAATCCTATCAACATTGATGATTTGGGGGTACCCCTATTCTAGGAAACCCGCCCAAATCATTCCAAACTAGACCATTTGAGTGTTGAAACCTATGGTAAAATGGAAATCCCCAATCTAGGCAACTCTGCCCAACCAGCATTGCTCGTTGGACAATGCCGGTAATCTGACATGGCGATAGATTAGATCATATTCAAATTAGATTAGATTAGATAATATTAATATCAGATAGATCTAGATGACATTCATGGCCTCCGTGCATTTCTCTTCCGCGTTTTCTGCGGTGCGGAAGAGATCAAGGTGCGAATCTACCAAACTACACGCCCGGGCCAGCGGCTCCTCGCACAGAACCCAGGGAGCAAGGCCTGCCCATCCGGGGGGAAGGGGGGTCTGGTGGCTGATTTCCCACCATGAGGGATTTATCTTACTTTTATGAAAATGGTTGAGTCTAGTTAATTCTAGTGTTAGTATTAGTAAGTAATCTACTGTAGTGTAGCCACTACGAGAACAGATCTACTACTGTCAGCTACCTATTTATCCAGTACTGAACGGAGGGAGCGGTTTGGAGCTAGGGGTATCCATATTCGCTATTGAATGAGGAGCAGTTTGGAACTACTAAGAGTTTCCCAACCATGTAGGTAATTTTGAATTAATATGAGGTCTTGATATGAATCCAGTGGATGGATTGGGGCCGAGTTTCATCCTAGTTTCAGACCCACCAATGAAGGTCAACTGGACAGGTCATGAAACATTCAGCCACCGGGATGGTGAAGATGTTTAGCATTGGGAAAAAACCACAGCAGGATCTGAGCATATCTCAGAAGTGATGGGATTTCACCAGAATGGATCCAAATCTGGGGATTTGCCATGTTTTCTTGGGGCACCTTAGTTTAAGATAGTTTAAGATAGTTTAAGCTCCCATAGCCACAGCATCCGCAGCCGCATGTATCTTAGGCACCTGGCGGTGTGGGTCGGGATCCCCGGACCTTGGCGTGGCTTTCTCGTTGCAACAACCTGAAAGGTCAGTGCATTTTTTTTTGGCGCCTCGAACCTTTAAAAAACCTCAACATATGATAAACACATATGGTAAATCCATGTACATCCCAATAAACCATCCCCAAGTTTGAGGTTTATGAAATTGGATATAACGGATCGAAGCTTCGCCCAGGTCATGGTGGCTGAAAGGGAGGCCCCCGGGGGAGGGGGCCAGGGGTTGGGGGAACGAAGGAGCCATCAAAAGGATCCAAGAAGAACTGGGAGAAATATGGATGTAAGCCAAAAGAACAAGGATTCAAGATTGCAATAGACACATGAAATGGGTGGAAATGGAGTTAGTTACTTTCTGTGTTTCTGTTGAACTGATAAGACAAGCTTTTGGAGGGCTTGTGCCCGATTTCATATTCAAAATTGACATGTTGGCTGTGCCTAGCACCCAAGTGCATTTAGAATCAGTTCACTGTGACCCGAGGATTGCTCCATGAAGTGGTGGTAGTGGTGATGACTGGTGATGATGGTGCTGGTGCTGGTGATGATGATGACGATGATGCTCATGGATGCCCAAGTGCTCACATTGTCTCATTCAACCCATGGCGCAGCATGCATTGTCCTGAAAGCCTGAAAGACTCCCAGTGAAAGCTACTATTGATCATATTGATCTAATGGGGGCTGGTCAAGTAGTCTAAGTAGTCCAATGACACCCATCCAAAGTAGCAGGCCCTGGAATGCATCAGTTTTACCACCCAAAGTTGGACGAGAGTCTCAAAGCGGAGGAACTGACTGACTGTACGTTGGAAGTGACAATTCCCACCTCAACCCGCAACACGCTCAACCAAATCAATCCAACATGATCTAGACTATAGCTACATGGCTTTGTTTGAAAATCACATACCCCTTAATTTGAGAGTTCCCACCAGGAGATCCCAGGAGACAACAAATATAACAAATCCTAATCCACCCATACACAATCGCATCCACGGTGTGCCTCGGCCATGGCGCCATGTCGCCCTTGCTGGGCGGACACCTGCACTTGGCGCGCGATAGTCACATCGTGGAGGAGGAGGAGATTGTGACACCATTGGTGCGCCTCTCCAAGGGAGCCTCGCCCTCCAAAACGTTGGGCGCCTTGATCAGTGGGATCAAGATATCTGGATACTGTAGATTGATCATAGATTTACTGTAAACAACATCCATTCATCCATGCATCCATGCATGCATACATACATACATACAGACAGACAGACATACAGACATACAGACATACAGACATACGGACATACAGACATACAGACATACAGACATACACACATACAGACAGACATACATACATACACATATACATATACACATACACATACACATACATATATACATACACATACACATACACATACACATACACATACATATCCATCCATCACCATCAATCCATCCGTCCATACATACATACATACACACCATATGATAAATTTAACGATCAACACGAGTTCAACAATAGGGATTTTTACATGATTTGGACAATGATCTAACCAATATTATGGATTTAACCATCAACGATATTGCAACAATAGGAATTTAACATGATTTGACCGCTGTATGTTTCGACCAATATATAGTTGATGATTAACCTATTACAGTATGCACGTGGGTTGAGATATTTCAACAATAGAGATTTGACCAATGAATGGTGGTTTTATGGACGAATTTTATTCTAAAGGAGATTCAATGGGATATCAACCAACAAATTCAGCGTATAAGATGGGATTCTTCATGATATATATAACCAATAATATGATATACAGGTGTGTTTGAACATGGGGTATTAGAACGTATCGCAATTTGATTGTGGAAACTAGTACTGTAATTATCCAGTAAATTTTGGGGTGCCCTATGATCATATGTAAAGACAGAGATTGATCCAAATTGGGACAATCTTTTTGATGGTTTGGGATGCATTTTTCTAATCTATCCAGGGATTCGTGGATATTCATAGCAAATAATACCCCCGGGCAATCAAACATGGCAATTGAAATTCACTGCTAAATAGCGGTTTCTAGCTGGAAAAACCATCAAACTAAACGTGTTTTTTGTTTTGTTTTTCCCAGCTAGCCGCGTTGAATTAATATCCTAGCAATATCGCGTTAAATATCTGATAGTTCATTGACAGTAAATATTGGATATGAATAAGGGCTTGATGATTGATGTATCTCCATTGTTAGCATTATATCATATTTGCATTGTTGATATATTGATGGCTATTTAAGAAAGAAACATGTTCTTATTAGATTTTCATAGTAAATATAATCAGTATCAGCATATAGGAAGTATACATGTCCATTGGTAATATATAGTTAATGTTATATATATGATGGTAAATATTGGAGAGTTATTATATATATATATATACACACTATATATATGTATTAACCATGTATATGAATAGTGATGTATGAATTTCAATACATACTACTATATATAAAATGGCATTATTGGATATTCATGATAAATATTGGATTAATCCCATTATACTCCCATTATATTCTCATTTACCTATAATTCCCTATCGTCATTATTCTTGTTGGTTAAACCAAACATTTATAGACAAGTGCCAAACATTTACAACAGAAAATAGCCACTGTTGTTGGATTAATCCCACTATATTCTCAGTATATCTTTCTATATCTAATATGTATACCACCATTTACCTATCATTCCCCTATGGTTATTTATGATTGTGGGCTAAACCAAACATTTTATAGACAATTGATGAAACCAAACATTTATAAAAGAACATGAACACTAATAAATGATATTATGATATATAACAGGAATGTTGTTGGATATAACATATGTATTCGTCTGTTATTGTTAAACCCCTATCATTAGACACTATGGTATTCTTAATTTGGTCACCGAAGAAGTCTTGACCTATTGAACAATAACCACTGATAAAATGTTTCCTGTTGGATATAACATGATATAACTTACTTATTAGTTTGTTATTCTTAAATCCCTATGTTTGGACCTATTTAACAATGACAAATAATGAATGATTTTAACGTTCCCATTGGATATAACTTACTTTTTTATTCGTTTGTCAATGGTGATCATCCTAGGCCTGGAGCTGGGCGACTTCATCCGTGCCCCCAGCTCCAGCCACTGTCTGCGCCGGAGCGTGGGCAGCACTTCCCTGGTCTTCACGGCCTCCGGCAGGTGCTGACCATGGGATGGCATCAACATGGGGAGAACATGGGGATTTACCATGATTTAACGGACAGAACTCTTAAACATTCGGAGTGTTATTTGATGATATTTGACATGTTTTTTTGATGTAGATTTATCTAGCTTACATTCGAGAGTTCAGTCAATGTGCAAGCAATCCTTTGATTGAACCAACTGAAATGCATGATTCACTTACCACAAATGAGGCGTCCCAAAATGACAACATGAGTGGATGTCCTCAGCCCACGCAGATGGGCCATGGAAGTACTTATATAGGTGGGTTATTACATGTTATGTTTTTTTCTACACTTTTCCACTATTGGGCACTAATTAGTACCCAATACCTGTCAAAGATTTGACTACCCAAGTTCTAAGATGGTATTGGTCTTAGTGGTTTTACTAACAATTTACTTCAATTATCTCCAACTCCATGGCCCCCGCCAAAACGCAGGTCCCAAAGCCCGGGTCTGCAGCACGTGCTCCGCCCTGCCCCCGGGGGCCCCGGGGGCGCCGGGCCCGGCTCCCCTCGCGGCACCGCCGGCCCCGCCTCGCCACGACTCTCGCAGCGCGGACGGCCCGGCGGCAGCGTGACGCTGCACCGGCCTTCGCCGTCTCCGCACTTTTGGCAACCGTGGATGCTGGGTGCGGCCATTATTTCCCTACCAATTTAATATGTGTTTGTATATCTATATGTGTAGGTGCTAGTTTACTGGAGGGTTTACTGCCTGTTAAGTGGGCATATGATGGGTTTTAACACCGTTAAACTCAAACCAACTAACTCTACGGCATTCTAGGGCCTATCTAAGCAGGGGTGCCTAGCGATGAAGGAGATTTTGGCAACCATATTTTTTATGAGATTGATTGAGGAAACATGAAACCAGTACTGCATTTGAAACAAACAATGAAAACTTAAAAAGAAAAGATCATCCAAGCAGAAAAACATATGTCGGAAATGGGGGAAGTTCGCTAGCAACCACGGAGATTTCAGCAGCAAGAGTGGAGTTAGAATCCAAGTATATTGTATCAGGCATTCTTCACGTACTGTAAAACAAGTGAAAATGGTGCCAGTTGACTCACATTTTTTAGTGTGACACTTTGCAATTTCCCCCGTCATGGTTCCCCGGAGGGTGTGTGTGAACTTATGTGAACAAGTTGACCGAAAAATAGGTTGAAACCTCCGAACTGTAGACCTTATGGGTCCAAGTAGCTCGTGCTTTGCTTTTTGGCAATAGTTTTGACCTGATTTGACACAGTTTTCCTAGTGCCTGATCCAAGCAGAACATAGCAGAACACCAAGGCGCTGATGAGTTACATATTGAACAAGCCTTCTTTTGTGTTCAAAGTGCTGGTTTGCCACGCTTCACTTTAAGTTCTGTAGCAATTTTCCAAGGAAGTCCTTGCAACAAACCGAGGAGCGCCAGAGAAGTGAAATCGCCTGTTGCAGGAGCTTCCTGCACTCAGTATCACACGTTCTGTTTGATGATGAGCCCCAAACAGATACGAATGGGGTTTAGAGATGGGATTTTCCACGATGCCAATTTTTTTGTCTGCCGAAGTAAAGCAGAGTTGGAAGCTGAAACGTTCTGTTTTTTTGTGTCAGAAAGGTCTACAGGACCCTCTTCGCCCTTCTCGCCACAGGCGCATCCTCCCCACGTGTCGAAGCGAAGCACTCGCCCGGGCGAAGCGCGACCTTGCGAGGGCGACGCCTGTCATCAGAAATGACAGCGACCTCACCAGAAATTTGATGGTGAACAAAAAGTGATCAGAACCAACACTATATGCCTGAACTGATCTTATTCTAGGTCGCTAAACGTTTGCAACTCATCTTGATCACGTGGGTACCCACAGGGGTGCCAGAATTATCCAGAATTTGCGGGGATCATTCATGACAAATCAGCACACTTCAGAAATTAACATTAAAGGAAGCATCGCCGTCAAGTTAAAAATATGCGCAGGCATGGGGTGTACTGGGGCCTGAATCGAGATATATAATTGCAACTGGGTATATCGTATACCATAACAGAATATAACAGATAGCAAACTTAGGCCATACAAATTTCCGTAAGTGTAATATCCTTTGACTAACTCAATTAATTTTTACTTCGAAATTCCATGAAATTCCATTACCCAATAACACTCATCGGTCTCAACCACCTTTCGTTTAAATTTTCCACTCAGTGAGTAAGTTCAGCAGCGCCATCCGCCAAGGATCCCCAAGATCTCCCACCACAGCGGGGCATTCCCCAAAATCTTCACCCTCCCCGGACACCTCGCGCTCCCCCAGCGCCGGCCCGGGTTTTTCGGGGGCGCGGCGCCCCGTGGTGGCGGCTGGGCGTCGGAGTCGGGGCTTGGGGAGTCCAAGGGCAGCGTCGCCCTTCAATCCTCACACGGAAGCTGGGCTCCTGACTGGCTGCCAAGGAATCAAGGAGCTATCGGTATCCATAATATGGGTGTGTTTGGTATACCGTGTGCACATATATTGTATACTAATTGTATACCCCTATTGCCACGAGCCAGGAGCTACAAATGGAGTTTCCGAACCTCATAGCTTGCAACAGCCATGTGTTTGGGGAACTAACCCCACTCAGGGGAACTAACCCCACTCACCCAAGTGAACGTAGGTAGTCGTAATAATCCCAGCTATCTTGGATCCACCATCATGAGCCAGATGATCTTGGATAATACTGTATCAGAAGTTGGGATTGATGGTAGTAAGTGGGGCATGTATCAGGGCCCGACCAACCCATGGAAGCTGACATTGATGGACAGTAAACGGGGTATAGCCAGCCAACTAACTTGTTCTAGCACATCGTGTGGTCGCAATTGGGGACATGTTCAAAATCACTATGGATAGTTATGGATAGTTATGGCATGTTATGGCACTATTCAAGCAGGGTTTGCGCACTGGTACATCATTTCATTTCGTGGTGTTGGCCGTAGTTTTTTTTTTCCAAACCTTGTGCGTTTGGTGAATCTGGTGCTATAAGCGAAAGCAGCAGTATGGGACCTATACTTATATAGGCGTTTCAAAAAGTTCCGGATACATAAACTCACAATGGTCTGGGAAGAACTGCTTTGGACACACGATGTGCCAAAAACACTCCAAAGATGTTTTGGAGGGAACGATTGCCATTAAACAAGTAGGTCTCTGGTATGTATGTAGCTGAATCCTACCCAGAAATGCAGGGGAGAGACCATCCCAAGCTACTCCCAACAGAATCTCTTCATTTTATGTTGGTCGATGTCACCACCAGGATTTTCACACTTTTGAACCCCCAAACCTCAAAGCTTCACTCTCGACTTGCATGTTGCCGGGATAACCCAATCCCATCTTGATCCCTGTAGTTTAACAGAGCTATGGAAGATCACCATTTTAAATAGGTAAACCATCGAATTCAACGGGCCATTGTTACACCATGGCTTAGTGAAATTCGCCAAGGACTATGACATCCACTTGGACTTGCCAAGCGGTGCATGGTACCGCTTCGAGACCAGAGTCGGCGTTGCAGATGAGTCAGCAGCTTCAGTCGGGGAGGAGTTTGCACCTGAAGTGGCAGGGAAATGGACGATGCATAGATGTGTGGATAGATTGGCTGCAGATAATTTTGTTGGTTCTAAACTAATCTATATCACATCACGCGCATATATTTTCATAATGATACCATGACTTCATGTCTATAAGATTGATGTTTATGTATCTACGCTGAGAAGATTACATTTAAATGTCTAGATGATTTACCTACTGGGGGTGGTCCAATTTTTGCATCCTATCCACTAAAGTATGTCCAGATATTTTTCCGCTGAACTTTGATAATTTTATATTGGCGAGTTTTCCTAAGTATATAAACATACAAAGACTGGCACCCCAAAAAGATACACAGAAGTTGACACACACACACACAAGCAAATACCAACTGAAATAGTGATCTTTTTGGTGGTGGTGCCTATAAAAACGTTTTGTTCTAATTCCTTCCAGCATTTATACGCCAGGATTTCCAAAGGATCCACTACTTGGATGCTACTTTTCTGTTGCTGAAAACATGTTACACCACTGTTGCTCAACCCCCCAGCATTTGTTGATCATTTTTCGACCGCGAGTCGAACCATGACATCGTTATTTTTCTTGGTTAAACCCCCATCTTCCTGGTGAAGCCACCATTTCTCTTGGTTAATAAAAAGTGAAACCATGTTAAACCACAATTTTCCTGGTAAAGCCTACCATTTTTCTTGTTGAAGCACCAGTTCGCCATTTGGACCTTGCGTGGTCTCCACTGTCCACTCAGGTCTAAATGGCCCGTCAACGCACGAGCCAAGTTTCAGATAATCGAGGATGACAAAACGTTGCTCGGCCAGCGCTGGTGGTGGTTCGTATTGGTTCGTGACGTGCGCGAATTTTGCGTTGTTGATGATTTCATATTTGTTGGGGGGTTGGTTCCACTGAACACTTGTCTATAAATATAATTAATTAGATCAATATAGATGGTGATTTCAAGATACTTGTTTCGTAAGATGATAATGGTGATGATGTTGATGGTAAGTATTTTTATCATGTCAAAATGGGACTAAACATCTAGCAACTGACTGCTAGATTCATTTGGACAAAGGATGGACGTCAATTGGGATGATGATGATGGTGATGATGATGATGATGGTGATGGTGATGATGATGATGATGATGATGATACGGATACGGATACGGATACGGATACGGATACGGATACGCATTGTTATTTTATGAGTACATTACAGGAGATCTGCAACGCTGCACAATGAAATGGGAACGCATCTTTACGTAAACAACCAAAATGTGGATCGAAACAAGAACAACTGGGATCTATATAAGTATCTATATAAGCAAAATGCAGGTGGATTTAGGATAATTTACTGTAGATTTATTTAATGAAAACCGGGATGTCAACAAGAATCAAACCCCAGGAAACAGCACAGTTTGGTCGTTCATCCTGGCCATAGAGTTTCACCAGAAACTCGCGGGTGATGGCTTGAGTGTAGCTACTTCCAGGATGTGTATGATGATTTGTGGTTACCTTGGTGTTATGCTGCATATGATATACAGTACCCTCTAGTTATTTAACATAACTATGGAAAATCCCAATTTTTAATGGGAAAATCCACTATCAATGGCCATTTTCAATAGCTACGTTAAATTAAGGGTATCAAGTTTGTTTCCTTGGGGATTTTCATGCAGCCATCTCAATATTATCAAACGTGGGACATGCAGCCATCTCAATAGTATCAAATGTGTTTAATAAAGCCATACAACTATCATACAACAAAACAAATGCAGAATCATAGAACTGTAATCTTTAGATCATCCTTTTCCACCAGATTTGCCCGATTTTTTCCGGGAATTCTCCACCAGGGGCCCCAAAAGGGGCTTGGTCCCTTGGGTCCCCTGGGTGCCCTGGTTTTTGTGGGTCCCTCGCCAGGCTGCTTTGGGAATCCTCCGAAACCCTGGAGCTGTGGGCACCCACAGAGCTGTGTTCCTCGTGCGCCCTTAGGTAACAGGTACACCTATGTCATCCTATCTCTATATATATCTCTGTATCTCTCCAAATCTCTATATTTCTATATCTATCTCTATCTCTATCGAATCTATAGTATATAGATTATGATTGTTGAGGTTTTATGGAAAGTATGGGGTAGCTAAATCATACCTTTGCCAGTCTATATCTAGAATTATTTGGGTCTGATGGAAAGTATCGGTATAACACCAGCCATACTGAATTAATCAATCCAGTTGTAAAATTCTTGCAAGTGGGACGGAGTGCTTGGGAAGCATCAGAAGTACTCAACTTACAACATTTGCACCCCTGGATGATCATTGAATATCATTGAAGCATATTGAAGCGGGAACAGTCGTAGCATTGGGGTTGTCCTCATTCTGCAATGCTCATCTTCGGTGCGAGGTTCTGTGCTGATACCTTCGGGTGACAGGCCGTCGTCGCCTCGGGGCACCAAACATTTATGTCTCAGAGTAAGGCGCCGCGGATGGCTTGGTAAGGGGTGAAGGATTGTCCTCCCAAAATGATCCATTCTTGTAGGGGCAGGTAAATCTATGTAAATCGCCCATGTGATGGAACAGGTGGGGTAGAAAGTCTTTCCATTCAGGCTGGGAGCCCCTTGAAACAGGTGCAAGTCATCTGAGTGCCCCAGAGGAGGGCTTGTTACTGTCCAAATTTTGCCAGTAATGTGGGTCAAACATGGTAAAACAATGTCATAAACCACCCATTTGGGAGTGGTTTATGCTGTTCATACCACCATATAGACCAATCATAAACCACCCATTTTTGGTGATTTGGGGGATGGCTTACAGGTGCAGCTCCCCTCCAGAGGGCGCCCTATGGCTTGAGCCGGTGCTGAGCCGACGCTCGGCGCCGCTGTGCGGCGCGTCGGCGCTGCGTCGGGCCGTGCCCTGGGAGGAGATGTTGGCGGGAGAAATGCTGCGACTTGGCGCGCTGGGGCGATGTTTAAAGCTTGGGTCATGTTTACCTTTAATGTGGTTGAAGTTGTTTTTCCCTTCCAAAAACAATTTAAACCATTTAAACATATATTTATTTTTATTATTATATATATATATCTAAAACATATTTTAAACCTAATATGGCTTTCACTGTTTTACGTGCGAAAGGCTGCATCATATTCTTGTTGCAGGGTTGAGACTGCATAATTGCAACTTTCCCATGCTGAAACAGATTGGTTAGACATGGTTGGAACGTCTCAGCACCGGGATTGGAGATACCGAGATACCCCTTAAAACGAAAACCATGGAGAGCTGAGGATGGAGATTGTGTCAAGGCTCTCCTGTCGCGCCTTGGTCCTTGATGCTGTGAAGGGTGGAAGTTGCCAGCTGTAAGAAATAAGATGCGAAACTCATGGGTGACACCTGTCCTGTGTCGTTTGATTATGAGGAATCCAGTTCGAACCTCCTTTTGGTAGGGTTATAAATACTTATGGCTTATGACAATTACTGATGAAGTAATCTCAAGTCTAGCTGGTAGATATCGAACTATTAACATGTGCGGGACCATGACCCTGTGTCATTTCTAAACCGGCGACAACGGTAGAGAAATCCCAGGAACTTTTGCGCATCACAAGGCCAATTCCATTAGGAGACTGAAGCCTAGGGCTCAAAATGGGGAAGTTCTGTGAATATTTCAAGGTTTCCTTGCCAAAAACCAAAAGAAGTTGCTACATTCAGCAATCCAAGCAGATCCAGTTCCGGCAAACAGTAATTCCTCTCCGGTGTCATCAAATGTGGGCCATTGAAAATCCGCCCACTATAGTTCGATGATTTTCCCATTCGAATTTACGCTTAGTTCGGGGATTTCCTGGCCAGCCATGTTTGATGACAAGAGAGAGACAATGATAAATGATCCTCTAATGACTGGCCCCCAATGACTTGGGGTGATGGTGGCTGGTTGAAATTGGACCCTCCAAATCCAGATGTTCGAACACACATAGCCATTTTATGCCATTTTAATTTTAATATATGTTAATAGTAATAAATAGTTTAGCATGGTTTAGCCATTTTGCCTCATCAAAACACTTAAACAAATGCCATATTCCCATTTTGACCCATCAACAAGATTCAACAAACGCTATCACCACTTGGGTGTGGGTCCCAGTAAGTGGTCCGCAGCCAAGAGCTACAACTTTTGTTTGGGTGGGATATATAAGCAGTTAGGATCAGTTGGGAATTCGCGGTGCATGTCATTGCATTGAGGGTTCAAACATGTTGAAACTATTTTGTATTTTCATCCCTTGAAGAGGGATCATCATCATCGTCATCGTCATCGTCGTCGTCGTCATCATCATCATCATCATCCTCATCCTCATCCTCATCCCATTTGACTCCCATCATTTTTCGGTTTGAAACCACCAGCCAGTTGGTCACCGTCTGCGGTTCCAAGGCGATGTGGCTCGTCTGCTGGCCTGTTTCAAGCAGCCCCAGATGCATCAGCCGGCCTGGCACTGCGCCTTCGCGCACGGCTTTCGGCAGGAGGGGATGGTGGTGCGAGGGTTCAAAAAGGGTTAGTGTAGGAAACTCTACAGGATTATGATGGATTATAAAGATGATCAGATCGTTAATTGCTGTAAAAAAATGGCAAAGAATGATTTTTTATGCTTCAAGACTCTGGGCCCAAGTAGGCTGGGCAGATCTCCACTTCTTACATTCAGCTTTGGTATGGATGTGAAACTGTGAAACGATCAAAAGTGACAAGCTCTTTGAAAGAACCACGACCTGTGGCAGCCTATTTCGATCCATGCCACTGTCAGGCATACTTGCGCTACTTTTTGGGCCCACTGCGAAAGCCGGCCACACTGAATGGCAACGCTGGGTTGGGCATTCAATGGCTTGGAGGTCTGCTTTGCCGGGAACAATCTGCCGAAGGGACTGACATCCCTGGGAATGACATGACTTAATCCATTTGTTCAGACTACAGTTTCGAGCTGGACGTGGAAGACGGTGACAGCCTGCCTACAGCAACAGCATGGTTCACTTTTCGGTTGCCACTTGACAATGCAGTTCCATTTCACTTGAGCTGTTTTTTTTCTGCAGTCCGCGTAGGCTTTGCGTACACTTCGCGTAGGCACTCTTCGCATACTACCCCGCGTAGGCTACCTCTGCAGTCTGCGTAGGCTTCGCGTAGACTTCGCATAGCCTTTATGAGTTTAAAGGGCTAAGCAATAAAAAACACAGCTCACTTGTTGCTACCTACGTCTTCCAAATGGCCTTAATTTCCGCCTGAATCACAAAATCAGCCTGAGCAGATTGCGGGCTGAACCTTGCACATCGGGCGGAAACTGCATGTTGGGTTTCCCATTTTTGCACCCAACAATTTCGGGCAGAAAAGGGCACGAAACAGGCGGAAATACACGAACACCCTTTTAGCCTAGAACAGGATGACACTCAAACGGGCGGCAGTTTCAAATGCAAGCAGAAAAAATCAAAACAGGCCAAGATTTCAGCCTGAATATCATCGGGTTGAAACTGCGGCCTGGGGAAGTATAGCCCTGATATTGCCATGATTGGGGAAGTTATATCTGATTTGATATCCCAATATTAGTGGGTTGATTTCAGCATAATAGTGAATTACCCTACAGTATATATGTTACCCCCAATTCTCCCAAAACTGGAACTGGGCCAGTTGGGTTCACCAGGAGCTTCCCAGAATGGGAATTTCACCTTCACGCCCTTCACCCGGGACCCGCTGTCGCCTCGCCTGCCGGGCGCCCCGGGGGCCTCGGGTGCTCGCCCGGCGGCGCGGCAAGCGGCGGGACGCGGGGTGATGCGCAGTGGACGGATGGTGGGGAAGGCGAGTGGCCTGCAGTTGGTGCCTCGGCAGAAAGGGGTTGGGGTTGGTTGATGGTAACTTGTGATACTCGTGAACTTGTGAGCCAGACATGGATGAGACATGATTTGATATGGAATGATACACTTCTTTTTTTCCCACATCGTGCATGTGTACAGTATACGTGAAATGCATTGTAGCGACATGCTTGGGCATGGTGTTGTTTTTGGGGTCAACGCCCCGAGGCGGGCGTGGTTTTTTCCACGTTTGTACTCTTTGGCAGTATACGTGTTTAACGCTCTTGCCGACTGTAAGATGACGCTACCGAAGACATGTTGCCCAACTTTGTTGCTGACGTCTTGCTACCTTGACCGGGAGGGGGGGTGGGGGGGATGATAACGTTCCTTTCGACTGTAAGATGACGCTACCGAAGACACGTTGCCCAACTTTGTGACCGGGAGGGGGGTGGGGGGGGATGATAACGTTCCTTTCGACTGTAAGATGACGCTACCGAAGACACGTTGCCCAACTTTGTTGCTGACGTCTTGCTACCTTGACCGGGAAGGGGGGTGGGGGGGGGGATGATAACGTTCCTTTCGACTGTAAGATGACGCTACCGAAGACACGTTGCCCAACTTTGTTGCTGACGTCTTGCCACCTTGACCGGGAGGGGGGGTGGGGGGGGATGATAACGTTCCTTTCGACTGTAAGATGACGCTACCGAAGATGTGGTAGAGGATGTAATAACGTCTCTGGCAAATGTGACTTCTGACGCGTCTGAGTTCGGTTCATGCGCGCACCAACTCATGGTGTCGGTCGGATTTTATTGAATTTTAATTGAACCTCAAGCAGATGTTGCGGAATTGCAAAAGTTTTTTTTGGCATTTTGACCTCTTGCAGCAAACGTCAAAACATCATAGATCACAACCATAAAATACTGTAAATTACAGTGTAAAAAGGTGATTTTTGATTCAATCACCAAGTACACAATTGTAGAAACCCCACGCCCGCCTCAAGGCGGTGTTCCCTTGTTTTTCACTTTGCTTGGTGGTTTTGATGGCCAACAAAATCTCTGTAGCACGGGATCAACAACAAACCAAATACTGCGCAAAATAACGCGCATACTCCGAATATATACTGTAAATGAGATAAATCAGAATGACTCCCAAGAACCACCTCTAAATTATCATAATGCCCTAAACATGAGCTAAACACCAAAAAGCCATTAATAATCATCTCAAAATCCATCATTCCAATCAACAAAAAGACATCCAGAAATTAAAAACGTAACAAACATATCCAACCGAGGTATATAATATTTCGGCCATTATTATGCCATTACAATAATAGAATTTTCAAATTACTGTATACATCCTGGATGAACTCCACATCTCCGTTACGGAACTTGCGGTTCGCCGTCGCAGGCGGCCTGTTGCACCTCCTGCCGTCGTAGCGATGCGCAGCTGCCACAGTGGGCGGCCGAGGTCTTCGATTGGCGACAGATCTGTCGTCGTTTTTTCCTGGCGCAGCCGCTGGGCATCGCTGGGCGAGATCCCTGGAGATGAGCTTAGCTGGGGAAAATCAATGAAAATCATCAACATAGTTTGATGATGTTTGATGGTAAATCTTTGGACATTTGGTAGGGGATTGGTGCAAGCTTCGTTTGAATTTTGCCCGGAGATGGGGATGGCACATGGTGAAACTGAAACGAGAACTGGTTTGACACATGGGGAAAATGGGAGAGGTCATGACTGTGGAAGGCACCTGGACCCGAGAGCTCGAAGTAAAGGAGTTTTAGTATGTTTTAGTCAACTTCAATCACTTTAATCCAACTTTAGGCTTGCAAAGATGGTGCAAAGTGTTGATCAATACCGATTTCAGGTGGCAGTTTTGATTCATACTGCAGAATCCGTGGTGCGTACGCTGTGCGCTGCGCAGCTGAGGTTACCATACGCCAACGTGAATTTTCAGCTCTTCAATTGCAGCACGCCCAATGGCTTTGTAAAAGACACTTGGTGAAGGGCGGGGAAAGGCAATTGCCATGCCTTGATTCTATGCTTTTCACCTACTAAAACCCCCTCCCCCCGTGATCTATTTTTATCATTAAGGGGTATTTTGTTTTTGGGGCCTATAATTACTATTACGTTGGTTTAGTAGTTCAAACTAAAATGTTCTATTTCAAAATCGATAAAATCCCTTTGGTAATCGATCTAAAGGTCCTTGTAAGGAGTTTTAATTGCGAAAGCCATGCATGTTATGTTGGAAACCCTCGCGAAAGTTTTTCCAAGCTCGCGAAAGAAGATCTTTTGTGCGCGAAAGTTTCGCGATGTTTCGCGAAATTTCGGATATTATGAATCTTTATCATTGTATTTCATTGTATACAATTACAGCTTGTTAAGAGCTACCACCTCCTGCCGCCCGGGAGTCCGGCAGGAGAATGGTACCGCACATTTACCTTTCCCTTCATAGGTAGCAGCCAAGCTTCCGAAGGTGAGGCTTCGCCACAGCCAAATACCATGGTCTTGAAGCACATCCTTCCACCTGCCGCTGGTACTGCCTAACGTCGCTTTCAAGAAACAAGCTCCAAATGCAGCAGCCAAGCTTCCAAAAGTGAGGCTTTGCGAGAGCCAAACGCCACGGCCCCTGGTGTTTGCTTTTCCTCTGATGCACCCCCTGCTGATGGCTGGGGTCTGCGGATAGGGGTATTTTCGCGAAAGTTCCGCGAAAGTTCTGCGAAGGAGTGGGCGAAAGTCAAAGTGCATTTTGAACGGAGTGGCCCAGTAAGCCTTGCCAAAAATTGCCGAATCAGCAACAACCTGTCCTGACAAGGGGATTCCGTGATGCTAGCTGCATGTTTACAAGGCTGAAGAAGTAATCCGTGATAATTTGGTGTGATTTGGCAGGTGGTGAATGAATCTTCATAAGAGGAGTTGTTGCTCAACACGAAAGATAAACATGGAGTTCGCGAATGATTCGCGAAAGAAGGTCTTTATTCGCGTTGAATGGCTGTTCCCGGATAAAAGGGATTTTGATCAACCACCCTTTCCAAAATCTAATTAAACTTTTATTGCGAAAGAATGGGTTTCGAGGCTTCCCTAATATTAAATCAAAGACCCTAGTCTAGTAGAAAAAACCCTTTTTCAAAATCGATTAACTTCCTTGTTCAGATCTAATCAAGATATTGCTAGTATTGCTCCAAAAATTGATTTCGAAGGTTCCACTAACATCAGATTTAAAACTATACCAAAAACAAAAAACATTTCAACATATTTTCCTTTTTAAAATTTAAATCTATAGTTAATATTGCTAATATTGCGCCAAAAAAATGCTTTCGAAGGTTCCCCTGACATCAAGTAAAAACCATGAAAACCTTTTAAGTTCCTTTTTTAAAATCTAGTCAAAAATTTTGCCAAACATTGGATTTCGAATGTTCTTCTAGTATTGAATCAGAAGCATCAATGAAAAACTATTTTTTATATTTCAATTTTGGGACCCTAATAGTGAACACAAGGTGTGATTCTATTTTTATCACGACAGCTAGCTTCTGCTAGCTGAAGTCCCTCCTGCTTTAGCAAGGTATTGGGGGGATGGAATCTCCAATCGCGAGAAACTTCTCAGTTAACTACCTCCCCCTCCCCCTCCTTAACAAGCAGTGGTCTTGGGCCCAACCTCCCGGGACACGGTCAGTAACAGCACCGGCACGATCACTGGTATCCGCCCTCTACACTTCGCACTCTGGAGTCCACACTTTACACGCTAAACTTTACACTCCGCATCTTACATGTTACACTCCACACTCGACATGTTACACTTACCTGTTAACGCACTTTACACTTCACACTTCACATGCTAAACGTTACGCTCCACACCTTACACGTTACACTCCACATTCGACATGTTACACTTAACTGTTAACGCACTTTACGCTCCACACTTCACATGCTAAACGTTACGCTCCACACCTTACACGTTACACTTCACATTCGACATGTTACACTTAACTGTTAACGCACTTTACGCTCCACACTTTACACTCCGCAGTCCACACTTTACACCCACACTGTACACTTGGCACTCCACACTCTACGTTTTCATTTGGCACTCACGCTTTAATCTGTACGCTTTCGCACTTTACACTTTACCCTTCATGTTCGACCCCCACAACTTTGCCATTTTCACACTTGACACTGTATGGAACCTTGGCCTAGCTCCATTGTCATATTGCGTGCGCACATCTATAGTCGTCCTGAACTTTCGCCGCTCGCTGCGTTACTTCTTCCCACGCTTTCAAAGGTCCACTCCGGTGCCGACGGTGGACCTTTGAATTTTCCCCTACACTGTGCACTCTGCACTCCGCATTTTACAATCCACACTTTGCACTCTAAACTTACACGCCGCACTTTAGACGCCACACTCCACACTCGACAGCTTACACTTCACTCTTAGCGTACTTTACACGCCACAGTTTGCCACTAAATTTTATCGCACTTTACACCCCACACTCCCCACTCTACACTTTACACTTCACACTCTACACTTGGCACTCCACACTCTACTTTTACACGTGACACTCACACTTTAGGGTTTACGCTTTCACACTTTCCACTGTACACTTTAGACCCTCACAACTGTTCTTTGCCCTTTTCACACTTGACGCTGTATGGAACCTTGGCCTTGCTCCATTTTCATGTTGCGTACGCACATCTACCTGTCGTCGTAAACTGTCGCCTCGCACTGCGTGACGTCTCTCCGCGCTTCCAAAGGTCCACGCCGGTGCCGAAGGTGGACCTTTGAATTTTCCCGAGTCAGTTGTCATGATCTTCCTGTGCTGAATGTCTTGATTTGCTTCGTGCAACAGTAGACAACAATCATATGTTCTCATCCTTGCCCCCTCCAACATACATGACTTCTCACTTAACTACCCTCTCCCGTCCCCTCTCCCCGGGACTGCCCAAAATAGACCGCCGCTGCGCTACCTTCTGTGTTTCATGCCCATCACACTGCCAAGCTAGCTTTCGTCCCTTACCCCTTGCCCTCAAGTTATATAATACGGGTAAAAACACAGCAGCCGGTTGACTCGGCGCCATGGTAAGGGTGACAGATTTGAAATTCTGATTTTTGAGGGTAAGAGACAAAATGCTGGTATTTGCAGGAGTCGTCAAGAAATGTTTGCAACATGGACATTCATTTCGATTGGCAGGCGTGTGACTCAAGAGTGATAATTTGCGTTTCGCCTGCGCGGTGACTCGATTTTGCTCTTCAAGGGCCAAAAAAACATTAGAACTCTATGATTTTCAATCATCCGAATCATATCAGGGTGGCATTCACTCTTCCAGTTTTTTTCCTCTTCTCGACGCTTCCGTGCCAGAGTGCTGGTGGCAACGCAGAAGCCATAGACTGAAACAAGGCAGCATTGTGACGCCATGTCCAGCTGTAGGCCCAAGCGTATCTGTTTTGTACACTTGTTGATTTTTCGAGGCAACGTGTTCCGTAACGTAAGGGAAGTGCTCGTCAAGGACGTTAATACACCCCCCCTGATGATCATACGACAGCATGTGCAACGTGTACATGTTCCGTGACGTCAGAGAAGTGCTCGTCAAGGACGTTAATACACACCCCCCACCCCCGTGATGATCATACGACAGCATGCGCAATGTGTACATGTTCCGTAACGCAAGGGAAGTACTCGTCAAGGACGTTAATACATCCCCCCACCCCCTGATGATCATACGGCAGCATGTGCAACATGTTAAAAACGCAAAAAAATCTTATACCCCCATTTCGGAAAGCCTCATTTTTGAAATTTGCAACCCTTCCAAGGGATCGTAAATGGCACATCTCAAAATTAACTACCCTTCCAAGGGCGCCGTATCAGCCGCATGCCAAAAACAACTATTTCACAATCCTGTCCCCCTATTGATTCTCAATTACCGCAATTAAGAACGCAGTTGTAGGCAACCAAAAAGACCAAAAGTGCCAACCGTTTTTTAATCAATTGGTGGAGTTTTAGTAATAGGGAGAAGAGATTACCATCCGGTAACCAAACATGAATGGAATATATATCCAATATATAAAGACGTGTTCAAATACTGTAACGTAAACATTGATCATTGGTAATGATGAAACAAAAGCAACAGGACACGCAAGCAAATCAATCCAGTCTTTTCGATTTCGACCTTTGCCCGCGGGTATTTGGAGAGGAATCGTAATCTGGGACAGAACCAAATTTGAGGAATTCAAACTTGGGCGAAGGGTAGCAACCCGACAAAAGGGTTTACTTCAGGTTTGGGAATGCTCACAACTATTCACACCCCCTTCTTTCCCATCATGAAGAACCATGCCTCATGTGGGACCCTTGAAAAAACAGATGCACCACTTTCATCCACTTTCCGCCCGGGTTTTCTTGGGGGAATTCGTCAGGATTCAGGTGAAATTCTTCATGTTCCACGCGCCTATCATGGGCAAAGTCCCAACTTTCGATGTGGCTGGAATATCCCTTTGAGCGCTGCACCTGGGAAGAAAGATGGGATTTTCTGAAGGAAGGGGGAAGGGGCATCACGTTTTTTGGAACCCAAAGAGATCAGTATGGAAAACCAACCTGCAAAGAGTAAAGTGCAGGGTTTGCCCAGGAATCCAATGAAGCCTTGAACGTTTTGATTTCCAGGAAATTCCAAAGTGTAGGGCTTAGGGACACAACCCCTTGCGGCCAAATTATGGCCATAAATTCTCAAATTTTGTCATTTTTTATGGTTGTTTTCTGATGCCAAACTCAGAGGGAACAAACTTCAGGAAATTCTGAGATGATAAAAATGGTACCCTTTGGATCCCTCAGGATCCCTCTACTCTGGCCCATTGAGTTGGATGATTTCCTGCTGAAAAAAATGGTGATTTGCCAAAGGATTTGACCACCTCGCCCAGGATGTCAGCATAAATGGTGCCAGCTGTGGGAACGTTATTTTCCCAGCTTGGGTAAGATAACATCATTCAGTCAGACCATGGTTTCAAGCAAACAGTGCTTGTATCATTTATTTTTCTTGGAGGATCCCACTATTATTGTATATCATATCATAGTTGGATGATGAAGTCATATCCTACCTTTGAGCATTTTGCCAGGTTTCGTTATTGTCCCCGCCCAATTAAAGTGAACCACATGCCAGACAAGTTAACCCAACAACAGCTACCCTCCGCTAATCAAACATGGCAATGGTACATCCCCTTTTACTTCCGTGATTGTACCATTATATAAACGCTCCATGTAAGTACAGGAGATTCACCAGCCGTGTTTGATTATCATCAGAGGGTAAACACCTAATTCTTGCTATGTTCCACTATATCCCCATTGGCCCATGATATCCCTTGATATTAACCATAGTGTACCCAAGCAAGTTCCCGCAGCGAGGTCCACTTTCAATCGCAGCCCTCTCCGGTGGTTGTGGCGCATCGCTCCCCTCTGGGCGTCGCGGGCGTGCCCCCCTCAGTGGCCACGGTGCGCGGCACTGCTGGGCCAGAGCCGACACTGGCGATGACGCTCGCACCATGAAAGATAGGGATTTCTATGGGGGTTTCATGGAATGGGGGTACCCCAAATGGATGGTTTATTTCATGGAAAAATCCCAAACAAAAATGATAAAATGGATGAGAACTGGGGGTAGCCCTATGACTTTGGAAACCTCCATACAACCATCTCTATTGGGGATATGGGGATATAATGGAGAGTTAATGGGATATAATATGACCAAGGGGGGCGGAATTCGCTAATTAATCTACCCCCTTGTATCTGGGTTGGGAGCAGCCCTGGTTTGACCAATCAGGTATTGGGATATGTCTTGGGATTTTTGGGATGATAGAAAATAGATAAACCATGATAAACCAAGATAAACCAAGAATAGTGGGATATGATTGATATGATGTGGTATTTCACCAAGCACTTATTGGATTTACCAATGATTTACCATCCCGTAGCTATGGAAAATGGTCCGTAGATGAATAATTTTTACACCTATATTTACCTTTGAAAATCTACTAAAGCAGTTTTGATTTTCCATAGCTATGTTAAATAATCAGAGGGTAACCCCACGGGTACCAATTGGAGATATCATGGGAAAATCACATATAAATCGGAGTTAAATGGGATATAACTTGAAATAAGCTCAAGCTCTCGGCCCAAGCGATTCGCTCATCTTCGTCCGCGCTCGTTGAGTTCTTTGTCCCTCCTTAGTCGACATGGCTGGCGAAGCAGCAAAGGGAACCATGGGCATTTTCATCGTCTTCGTTCTCTCACGTGCCTTGCATCCCATGGTCATCGACTATTCCAAGGTGGATGGAAAGATGCTTTACTCCAAGAACTCACCCGCGATCATGAGCCAGCTGCTGTCCATGGTATTCGTGAACTTTCTGGCTTGGCAGGAGGAGGGCATGAAGGGCGTAAAGGCGTGCTGGGCGATTCCACAGGGAGCTTCCATTTTCATTGTCATTGGCTTGTGGTATGCCTTTGGCGACTTCCTGGAAATGTTGTCCATGGGAGCCATGAAAGGTGGCGTTTATCAGCTCCTCTTGCAGTCCAAGCTGTTGATTACTGCTGTGATGATGATGCAACTCAAGGGAACCAAACAGAGTGATCTTCAGTGGAGCGTCTTGGTGGCCGCCACCTTGGCCATCAGTGCCTTTGTGATGGTGGACAGTGGCAGCAGCGATGGCGACAGCGGCATCCCATTGGTCGGTGTGGCCATGGTGCTGTTCAAGGTGGGCGTGTCCTGCTACGCTGCCGTCTTGTCGGATGCCAAGTTGAAGGGCTTCAGCAGCATGTCCATGTCGGCCAAGCTGTCCCTGATGTCCCTCTCCCGCGTCATTGCCTCTGTGGCCATTGCCGCCGTCATGGAACCAGATGTCCAGCCATCCTACAAGGTCAGCCAGGCCGCGGGGTTCTTTGATCACTGGACCATGGCCACCTGGATTGTGACCTTGTCGTTCACCTCCAAGTCGTTGATTACGCTCTACCTGTTGAAGTCCTTGGATGGTATCCAAAAGAACGTGGGTGAGGCCCTCGCGGTGATCGTGATCTTCTTGGGACAAATTGCCGCAGGATCTTCCGTGTTCAACCTTTGTGCCTTCTTGCTGGCCCTCTTGGTGGTGATTTTGGTTCGCATCTATGGCCTGGCTGGCAAGGTGGCGAAACCCAAAGCCGTGGAGGCGGACAAGGGAAAACTGGGCTCCTCAGATGTGAAACTCGTGGGCATCAGCAACAACGCCAACTCCCCGTGAGGCCTAGCAGCGACCACTTTCACAAAAGATTCGTTGGGTGAAGCGCAACGCGCAGTTTGGACCCAACAGGCCCAACTGCGCGCGCTCCCTTTTGGGGGAAACCCTGCGAACAGTGAAGTGAAATGTGGCCACTTTGTTGACCTTGCCACCGCATACATCTCCATGCCAATCTAGAAGACAACGTCAAGATTGCCTTTGTATCCTTTGTCACCATTACTATTTATGAATCATGGAGAAGTAGGCGTCCTGTTTCGGAGACCGATCGATTTCAAGTTCTCCCCGCTTGCATTGCTGCGATCTTTCAGCATTGAGGGCCGTATCGACATAGTCCTGATATGGCCGTCATATGCCTCGACCAAGCTGGAGTGCTGAGGATTTCATTCCACTCCTGGCGATGAGCTATAACTTGAAATAAGCGACGATGCATGAACTCTGGTACTTTGATTACTTTGACAGTTTGCTTTGGTATAGATGGCCTGTTTAGTTCGATGATTAAACAATTAAACATGTGATTTTATATAGGTAAATCATGTATAAACAGGTAAATATGGTAAATTATCAACATGCTGGATCATGTATAAATGTGTAAATTATCAACATTTTGGATCATTGGTTAGTCATTGGATTGATTTTTGATGAAGAATCTTACCCTGGAACCATTGTTTTTCTACCACCCAAATTGATTGGTGTAAGCCCTGCAGATTCTCGTGGAGAACCATGGAAAACCAATGCTGAGATATACAGTGCCCCTCTCGCAACTTCACAGGCTGCTATGGAAAATGAAAGTTTTAATAAGTACAGTAAATAATCCATGATAAATGGGCAATAGCTAAGTTAAATTACTAGTTACCAGAGGGTGGTCAAAAAATCATCGACGCGTAGGTATACAAAAACAAAGTTCGTTTGAAACTGACCCAACAACAAATCTGAAGTAGTGAAGTTGTTTGGGAAAAAAATCCATGAAAAGCCTCTCGTCTTGATATTTAAGTGCACGTTTTTGATAGTCAAAGTCACGTTTTGAGTAGTCAGATCCACCAAATTGTTGGTGATGAACTCAGTTTCTGCTGGTTGGCAATGAGGTATACCACACATTTCCCCCATTGAATGAGCGAAATGAGCCTGCAACGAGAAACCACAGGATTTACTGTGTGCAACAGTTGAATCATCCCCAATCATTGGTTAAACAATGCGATACATTCCAGTTTTTGCAGAACTCCTCCCCAATTCCAGGTCATCAACCGCACAAAAAAAAGCACACATAAGTATTTTTCAGTTAAAAGACCTAAATCACCAGAATTTGGGTCCTTAAACCCAGTATGTATATATATTTATATATAGACAATCACTATAATCGTCTTCTCACCCAGTGCCCAGGACGCCGCAGGTCTCGGAAAAGGACTCGGCGGTGATTCTGCCGATGGCGCTGCCGGGGCAGCTGAAGCTCCAGTGGACCTTGGAGGTGGAGCCGGGCCGTTGCCTGGCACGGCGCTTGGCGTGGGAAGGGGTTGGCCAAAAAAGGGGGAAAACAAATACACACAGACATACATACCTACCTACCTACGTACCTACCTACGTACGTACCTACCTACGTACCTACCTACGTACGTACCTACCTACGTACCTACCTACCTACGTACCTACCTACGTACGTACCTACCTACGTACCTACCTACGTACGTACCTACCTACGTACCTACCTACCTACGTACCTACCTACCTACCTACCAACCTACCTACGTACGTACCTACCTACCTACGTACGTACCTACCTACCTACATACCTACCTACCTACGTACCTACCTACCTACCAACCTACCTACGTACGTACCTACCTACGTACGTACCTACCTACCTACATACCTACACACACACACATACATACGTACGTACGTACGTACATACATACATACATACAAACATACACACATGCAAACATACAAACATACAAACATACAAACAACCAAGCATACGTACATACGTACATACATACATACAAACGTACGAACATACAACCATACAAACATACAAACAAACATACATACATACCTACATACATACCTACCTACCTACCTACATACAAACAAACAAACATACAAACATACAAGCATACAAACAAACAAACAAGCAAGCAAACAAACAAACAAACAAGCAAACAAACACACACAAACACACACACAGAGACATGCATGCAGGCATGCAGGCATGCAGGCATGCAGGCATGCATACATACATACATACATAGATACATAGATACATAGATACATACATAGATACATAGATACATAGATACATAGATACATACATACATACATACATACATACAGTTAGCGAATGTTAGTGATTGACAGTTATATCATGATATATTATGCGCGTTTTTTCGTTGTTGTTGAAGGGGGTTTGATAGATATAACTGGCCAAAACAGAGGGTGTTAGCTAGTCAACTTCGTGCGTGCCTGAAGTATCAGTAGTCAGAAATGGTTTGTTGGCAACGAAAAACTTGGATTTCACCGGCCATTTGGATTACCCTCTGGTTATTTAACATAGCCATGGAAAATGGCCCATTTATAGATGGTTTACCTATTAAAAATTGTGATTTTCCGTGGCTATGTTAAATATCCAGAGGTAAGTATTAAGGACAAAGTGTGTTTTCAATGAGTTGACTGAAGGGAGTATTGACCAGCCGCGCCCAGAAATGAAGTGACAATGTGTAGGAAACCTAAAAGCATTGGGGTGGCAGATATACATAGTTTCCTCTTAGATTTCCCTGGGGCAATCCAATGACTAACTATGAAAAACTGGACTAACTATCCCAATCTTTGATAGTTAAGCCATGTTAAGCCGCGATTTATTCATGAGGAATTTCCCATAATTTAAATGCTTAATGCTTACTTGTGGTTCACTTGCAATTGCTGCCATTGCTTCATGTACAAATACTTGCAATCCATCACTACTTCTAGCTGCTGGTTAATTTGTTTTTGTTGAAGAACTTCCTATTAAAAAACATATGTTTGTTCCTTAAGCAATGTTTGTTGGTTAGATCATGTTAAATACATATAAATCCTAGATATTTTATTGCTCAACCCACCATTTCTGCCCTGAGGCTACTTGGTGGTAGTCACCGTGGGCGATCGTCACGTGGGCTTTGCAGCCCATCTGGAGGTGGCTGGACTGCCGATCTTCTCCGGCGAATGGGTGGCTTGAAGGCAATGAACAAGGCCAATGGGAATTATTGGCGAAACGTCATCTATGGCTATGTCAATGGATTGGTTTACGGGAAAATCTACAGGAAAGCCCCATATTTCATGGGAAAATCTATGGTTTCCTGTATTTTTTCCTTAAACCAATCCAATCACTATATCCATCACTATGGGCTATAACTGCTTGATGAGCTGGACGGACTTTGTTTATCTTCTTTGGGGCCCCGAAAAATACGGTGTCCAGAAGCGGAAGTCCAGAAAAGAAACTGTGAACACGCGGGAGCAGTGGATGCTATTGACAGACAGGAGCAGCAGCCCAAACAGAAAACCAAACCCCGGTGAGATCGCTCCACTCCTCCGAGAACTTTGGTGCCAGTGCTATACCGGTGGTTTCAAAATGTTTCAAAGGTCTTTTTTTCCCCTTCCTACCTGGGATATATCCTCGTTTTTTGGGGAGAAACTATACTGAGACCAGCGGCACCCGAGCCCAATGCGCCATACTGAAACCATTCCGTGGGCTCGGACTCAGGTGGAGGCTGGCACTTTCAAGTCACGATGCTTGATCTGCGAGACCAAGTATGGTGCCATCACACTGGGTCAGCATACCTCCCGCGCATGGTCCGCAGGAGCCACCTGTCACCCTGGGACATGCTGGGACATGCTGGGACATGCTGGGACCGCCTGACCGTTCTTGAAATCAGACGTACCGGACGTACCGGGTTCTGATCAACATATCGCTGATGCTTTTCTCGAAAAATTGCCGTTTTCCCACAGTTTTCCCCTTCAATCTGCCGCCGTTCAGGCCTCCACAAAGACGAGATGTGCCATTTGGCAAGCCGACTGGTGCCTTGGCAGTTGAGCGTTTCGGAGAGATAGGCTAATATGGCCAAAAATGACATTGTGATATTATATACTCTATAAACGTGGGTGTATATTGTATACATCCCCTATAAACATGACTATATAGAATGACATAGTTGATGTTATATAGCCTTCGACAACGAACATGGCAATGAATATATTATATATATATAGACAGATAGACACCTATAAATACGGAAATTTATTTGGGAAACTCATCTGAATAAATGGGGGGCTTTTGATCGTCATGTTTGATTCCTGGAGAGTTGCCATGATGCAAGTGATTTTGAATCTGCTAACATGACTAACCAATGTAAAGTATGTCTTCGGTTGGTTTGTTTTCTGGCTGAAAAATTGAAAAATAATTGTGGTCACCGTGATTTGCTGGTTTCCAATTCCAATTAGTTTCCAATTACTGTATGCCTATCTCCCAAGTAAGCAACACCATCCGAAAAAAAACAGAAAACAAAGTCTTACTGGAGCTTGTTTTTTGTTCCTTTTTTGGTTGCTAGATTATATAATTATAGATTGTCATTATTCCCCACCTGCCAGGTGAGGGTTGTTAGATTTTATCAGAGTTGTTCTCCTCCTCCTCCTCCTCGGCTAGCTGTCCTCCTCCTCCTCCTCTAGTTTCTCCTCGACCATGTCTGCATCAACTTCCACCTCCACTTCCGCCTTGCCAACTCTTCGCCAAGCTCTTTGCCAACTTCCCAGCTCAGTGTGCACTGGGACCTCAACCTGGGACCTGCCCAGCTCAGTGTGCACCGCTGGACCTCAACCGGGGACTTTCCCAGCTCACTGTGCACTGCTGGACCTCAACGGGCAGATAGAATGCCAAAAGATATGCCAGATAGAATGCCAGAAGGTATGCCAGATAAAGTGCCAGAATGTCTGCCAGATAAAATGCCAGAATGTTTGTCAGATAGAATGCCACATGATATGCCAGATAGAATGCCAGAAGGTATGCCAGATAAAGTGCCAGAATGTCTGCCAGATAGAATGCCAGAATGTTTGTCAGATAGAATGCCACATGATATGCCAGATAGA